CGACGATCAGGAATTACGATATCACGATTTAGAATCCGATTTGGGGAAATCTATCGTTAGACAAAAGGCCATAACACGCCCGAAACGATCGCAAGACTCCTCTGGCAACAGAAGTTCAGAAAAATATCTGATGAACAACGTAACGAAGACAGGTCAAGAGAAACAAATAAGAGAAAAAAAAACAGATCCAGAGAAGCAGATCAAGAATCATATAATGGGGTCTCAGATTATCCTCAATTGTAAAATTAATGGAAGGTCACACGGATTTAAGAAAGTTCGTCGGAGATGCACCTAGACCGCGCGTGGATCATATTTCAAAACAATCAACCCCTATCCCTACTTCCTCAACCACCACTTGCTGCCACCTCCCTTCAGACCCTACCCCTACGCCTTTGGGGAAGCAAGGATTCCCTCCCTCCCACTGTTAGCTCCTTAGCACTTCGTAGCACAAGGCAAATACTAGCACCAAAAGGCATGATCGGCCATCCTTGATTCCAAAGAATTGAAAAACAGTGTAGCTCCCCCTCGCCAAACCCGTTGACAAGTCGCTACAGGGGGTCCAAACCGCCATAAACTTACCCTACACTTACCATGATTGAGGAGGGAGAGGGAAAGGTTTCACCCCACGCGTCGTCTCAGCATCCTCATTCGCAACGGAAGAAGAACCAATCAGAGAGCCATTCCCCAATGCGCGTGCTTGATTCATCACACCAGTGCTGCCTGCCCGAGAAGCATGGTGTTCGCTTCAGCTTGATAACTTGTGCTAAAGAACGTGCGCCGAAGATCCCGTCTCCATCGCTAGCAAAGTTGCGTCATATAAAAAGCGCAGGTCGAACTCACCCAGCAGAAGACGCCATCATGCAGAGTAGAGGCGTGCTCGTACATGGCTACACCAAACAAGAGCAACCACAGCCACCAAGTTCCCCGCCTCCATCGCAGTAAAACGCGCCATGCGAAAGCTGAAGTCGAGCTCCCTAGCCAGGATGCGCCAGCCGAAGCGCCAGTCGAGCCGCCCTCCGGAACGCGCCAGCCGAAACACGGTGTGAAAGCGCCAGTCGAGCCGGGCGCAGCGCTCCCGGTAGCGCTGCACCCACATGTGAAGTAAACGATATTGAATCAATTCAACTCGACTTTTATTTATTTATTTTTAATTCAATTCAATTTTCTATTGCAATCATCAGTGCATAATTAGGAATGAATTGAATTGGTCGTTGGATGACTATGGGCATGGGCATGCGGACACGAGAAGCCTCCTCCTAACTCCTCTTCTGGCTTTGTTTCACGCTGGTCTATTCTCTCTCTCTCTCTCTCTCTCTCTCTCTCTCTCTCTCTCTCTCTCTCTCTCTCTCTCTCTCTCTCTCTCTCTCTCTCTCTCTCTCTCNCACACACACACACACACACACACAGTTTTATGCATGTCTGTTTGTCTCTTTTTGTATGCTTTCTCCCTGTTTTTTTTTAAAGTATTTTTTGTGTGCCAAGATGAGCACCCCAAACAGTCGGCCACTCCTCGTTCGGAGTGCCTACAACGCTCTTAGGGGGGACACTCAGTTTGGGATGTTCGCCTGCGCTACAGGTGATGATGGATGTTCGACAGAGCGACTCCCTGGCTTGGTGGGTGGTGGGAACCAACAGTCTTCAGGATTCACCCGTGATGTGAGTAGGTCATCTGCCGCTTTGCTCTGTGTTGGATGTGTGGACTGCCTTGTGTGAACTCCGCAGCGGCCTTGCTGGCCGTCCCGCTTGCTTCACAGGTCATTCTTGACAAGCTGCTGTGTTCACTATGTGGTGTGCCCGTGCTATCGGTGTTACCTTGGGCTTTGCTGCTCCGCTGCCCTGCTGCCCACCCGCAGGCCATGCCTTCTGCGTCCTTTGCTTGGTTCCCTTGTTCAAGTTGGTTTTGCCCTGTGCTTCATTGCATGGTTGCTGTGGTACTCGTCTGCTCGCCTTGCCGTCCACTGCAGTGTCGTTGCCTTGTTGGTATTGCCTTGCGCTTCACTGCGTGGTTGCCGCACTGTGCATCGGCTTGCCAAGTCGTTTTTTTGCAGTAGTCTTTGGCATTGAGCAGGCGAGTTCGCTCTGCAGCATTACCTGGTGCTTTGCCGGGTTGCTGCCTGCTGCTGTGTTCCGTGCGGGAACAGTTTGCCTTCAACAAGGGTCAAAAGGGTTCATGACCAAAACCAATAACGCAGAGATTCCGCAGATTGTCGAGAGTTCAGCCTCCTGATGAGTCGGTGCAACTCCGACGAAACAATCTTGCTATCATCGGTTTTTTGTTTTGTTTTGTTTTGTTTTGTTTTTTCGCTCTTCTGATCTTTGTTGTTGATAAGTTCTTTCAGTGTGGCTCATGTACTTTGTGCTTTTTTTCCGGTACCTGCCTTGTGTTGTTTGCTTGCCCACCCGCCTCCCCCATGCCCACCAGCCTGTGACCTGTGAATGCTTCTTGTTCAAAGTCTCGTCACTTCGTCGCACCTTGCCTTGCTGCTTTATTTTCCCTTGCTGCTACCTGGTGCGGTGGCTGTCTGTTGCCTTGTTCATTCTTTTTCCTTGTCCTTCGAGTTGCTGCCTTGGGCTGCTGCTTTTGGCTCATTGTCTTTTGCTTTTCTCTTTGTGGTCATGTGGCGTAGTCCCCTTGGGCACTAGTCCTTATGTCTTTGTAGGATTGGTGAAAGATAGAGGTCGATGTATGCACATATCTTTTGCTTTCTTGTTTGGGTGCATCCGTCTTATATATCTAAGCATACGATTCGGATCACATAATGTCCCAGTATGACTTTTGATCGCTACCTTAGAACGCAGCTTGCCACGCTGTGTCACGGTGGCCATATTTCTCATCACACACACGCACCCCCACACGCACCCCCGCACACACCCCCCCCCCCCCCCCCCCCCCCCCCCCCCCCCCAAAAAAAAAAAAAAAAAAAAAAAAAAAAAAAAAAAAAAAAAAAAAAAAAAAAATTCTACCTATGTCTGCCTTTTCTTGGTGTTCTTTCTTCCTCCTATTTTTCCTTTGTGTGTGCCTGAGTGAGCACCCTCAAGAAGTGCTAAACAGTAGGTGGTCTGCTGTTTGGAGTGCCTGCAGGACTCGTAGGGGAGCTGCTCTGCTTGTGATGTCTGTGTGGTGCATATGGTCTATGGGTGATGACAGATGTCCGTCGGAGTGACTTCCTGGCTCAGGAGGGGTGGGAAGTTGGGAACTAACAGTCTGCGGGGTTCACCCGTGATGTGAGTAGGTCATCTGCCGCTTTGCTTCGTGTTGGATGTGTACACTGCCTCGTCTGCGCTCCATCGCTGCATTGCTGCCCCTGCTGCTTGCTTCGCATGTCGTTCTTGGCAAACTGCTGTGTTTTGGCTGCAGTGTTGGTGTTGCGTTGTGCTCCGCTGCGCTGCCGCCCTGCTGCCCATCCGCTTGCCTTGTCGTCCGCGTGCCTTGCTTGTGTGGCATGTAGTGTGGCTTCTGTGTTGGTGTTGCATTGTGCTTCGCTGCAATGTTGCTGTGCTTGCCTTGCCGTCCGCTTGCCCCCTGTTGTTCCTTGCTGCCGTTTTCGGCGCTGAGCAGTTGCCTAGTGCTTCGCTGAGTTGCTGCCTGCTGCTGTGTTCTGCTTGTGGACAGTCTGCCTTCAACATGGGTCAAAGGGGGTTCATGACCCAAACCATCAATACGGGGATTCATGAACCCCCTTTGACCCCCTTTGACCCATGAGGGCAACATGGGTCAAAGGGGATTCATGACCCAAACCATCAAGATGGGGATTCATCAACCCCCTTTGACCCCCTTTGACCCATGAGGGCAACATGGGTCCAAGGGGGTTCATGATTCATGAAACCCCTTTGACCCCCTTTGACCCCCTTTGACCCCCTTTGGCCCATGAGGGCAACATGGGTCAAAGGGGGTTCATGACCCAAACCATCAAATATGGAGATTCATGAAACCCCTTTGACCCCCTTTGACCCATGAGGGCAACATGGGTCAAAGGGGGTTCATGACCCAAACCATCAAATACGGGGATTCATGAACCCCCTTTGACCCCCCTTGACCCATGAGGGCAACATGGGTAAAAGGGGGTCCATGACCCAAACCATCAAATACGGGGATTCCACAGATTGTCAAGGGTCCAGCTGTCTGATGAGTTGGTGCAACTCCGACGAAACAATCTGTCATCATCAGTTTTATGTCTTTTGTTTTTTGTTGTTTCCTTGGACTTGTACTTTTTTAGCCTTCGTCCTTTTTTCTTACCTGTTGCTCTATGCCTCTTTGGTTGTCTTGTGTTTTCTTCTTCTTAGGTTTGCTGCCATGTTTTTTTGTCTGCCCTCCCTCCTTCCGCTTGCCCTCCAGCCTACCTTCTTCCCCCGAATAGAATGTATGGTCATTTCCGCTGCATCTGCACTAAAAGGTGAGCCAAATACCGCTATGATGACCGGACGTTCTATTCGGGGAAGACGGTGGGTGTTGCCTCGTGTCTTACTGCATTTTGGCAGTGTCATAAGTCCAGTCAGTTTCCTTGCAGTGGGGGAGTTATGTGAGAATCGTCTTCAAGTCAGTGTGCATGGTCCTTTCCTGGCGGGTGGTCGTTCAAAGTATTGCTTGTACTGAAGAGCAGCGCTCGCTCTAACACACACATATGCATG